CTCTCTCTCTCTCTCTCTCTCTCTCTCTCTCTCTTTCTCTATCGCTGCTCACGCGCGCGAGCTTCTGACAGAGATGCCGCAATGAGCATTTCATCTGTTCTTCTTCATTCCTCTCCTTTCTCTCTATACACATTCCGTCGGTGAGCTTGATGAGAAATTCTACGAGCGCGATAGCGCGGCCGTAAACGCGTCGCGCCGCGTTTCCGTCGTATCGCGCTTACATCGGCGACGGTTTACATCGGGCCCGCTTCGTTTTTCTCGCAGCATCCTCGTTTTCTCTCGCCTAGCCCTGCATATTTTATTGTTGCGCGCCCGGTTTTCGGGCTATTAACCGACATAACGGTGCAGTTTCATCTCGCGATATACTTTCAACGGCGCGATTAACAAACTCAATGCTCTTTACGATGTTTATTGTTAGCACTTAGCTTAATTCATTTTAATTACGCGTAAAAACGTCGTTCTTTTTGCTTGCCGTAAAACGTTTTTTTTTGTACGTGTCTCATCGAAGAGATTTATGTTGATAGGACTAAAGTTCGATTAAAAAAATTGCTAACGAATATTATGCGCATAATAAATTTGACTGGATATAATAGCGAATTGCTTTAATAGACAGCTGCGCCGTGTTATATATACGAGTAAATATTTTCTGGAATGTGACGCGATTCCTTCATTCGGGCGTGTCACGAAAGGAATTCGCGCAGAAAAGGTGGATGCTATCGAGTCACATGCTCGCCAAATATTTTTCATGTTTATATCGCCGCAATTATTAAGGAATTTATGTTCATTGCGCAATGACACGCTCAGTGATGTCGCGGTCTGTGATTATGAGTGCAATCAAAAAGATATTATTTTAGTGATTTATTGAAATTCGGTCTACAAACATTCCTTTTTAAATCTGGAGAATTAAATTCCAAGAACGGACGAGATGCAAGTTTCATTTATTTCAATTTAATTGAAATTTTAACACAATAGCTCGATCAATATGCACGTCTTTTTATAAAATTAGTTTACACACGAGTTGTAATTGCTTGATGAGTATTTATCGTTAAATTACATGCGATTTACATTATATACATATTGTATATACGTATTGTATTTACGTTTATTCAATTTATTACCGGAACGTTTACCGCATAATATACACAATGTCTATTGTAATTATTGTTGAATATTTATTTTATCAAATAACATTAATATATTTAAACAGTGAAGCATATAGATATATTTAATTATAACACATCAAATATGAGCTTTTATATAGTATCATGAATAAACTTTATGAAATAATCTCTTATAATTATCTCATTGATAATAATTTTTGTTATGTAAGGAAGATTCGGCTGAGAAAGCTCGGCTGGATGGAGATAAAGATGTATTCTTTGCTCTGCTCTATAGGTAACTCGTGAAAAGCTCTCTCCCAGCTTGCGCAAGCTTCGCAAATACCATCCTGTATTATCGATGGAAGTCCTCTTTACCTACCTGTGGGATCTTATCAAGAGATGTAACAGTTGCGCCAAGTATAAACTTGTATTTTCTTATCGACAGTTAGTGAAGAATTTATATACAAATAATCTTACATAGAAATTGGATTAAATAATAAAATAAATATCCATACACAAAATATAGATAACAATATCAAAATTAGTTTATTGTTAAAACGTAGTCGAAAATTTTCGTTTTGTATAAAGCTTTATCCGATTATAGAATGAAACTGATACAAGAGGACGCTACAGGAAGTTACCATACATCTTTGACAACTCCTGCTGTTTTATGTTCACTTAAGAAAACTTAAAAAAAAAAACAATTCTAAAAAGTTTAGTATACAAGCATTAAATTATTCAGTATAAAACTTTTTTAATAAAAATCCTATGAAAATCCTATAGAAGCTGCTAACACTTTATTATATGTATATTATAGTTATACTTTGGCAAATATTATACAAAGCATTAAATTATTTAATATGAAATTTTTTTAAATAAAAATTCTGTGAAAGCTATATGAGCAGTTTATATTTTATTATATATACATTATAGTTACACTTTGGCAAAATAATGCGAGAATTTCCGAGAGAAAATTTTCATATATTTTAATATATTCTTATAAACGTTAGTGTATAAGAAAAGTAATTTGCATGTTCATTTGACTTTGAATCTCTTGCTTAAAGCGGCTATAATTGCGCGCGGAATCGTCGATTCAAGTTGATGCGCGATTTTATCGAGGGACCTCTAGAGAAGCTAATTGACCGGTCAGACCTTTACTATGAGCCCGTATCCGTAGTTGCGACAATGCAATTTACATATACGTCGTGGTCCCTTTACGGTCGAAACCTCAATTTCGCTCAGGAAACGAAGAAGGACTTCTCCTTCCGAGGGGATCGAAGTCAGTTAGGAGTATTCCTTGGGAATCATCAATTATGCGAATATTTGAATAAAGAGGCAAGAACATTTAAAATAGAAGAAAATAAAATTATAGGTTTTTAATGTGATTAGGCAATTACGTTAAAGTTAATTTATACTTTCTAATATTAAAGATGTATTATAGTCTACAAACACAAATGAAATAATTCTATTTTTTTATTATCTGTTTAAGTATCATTATTTTCTTTCTATTTTTGTGATATGCCCTCTTTACTTCTAAACAATAAAATGAATAAATTCAGTTAATACTCAGTGAAATGCTATGAAAATTATTGATAACCGAAATTATAACTCTGTAATTGGCAATATATATATATATATATATATATATATATATATATATATATATATATATAATAATAATATA